ACTACAGGTCCATATATAAAGCACTTTAGCAATTCCTGTGATTTTATTGGTTCCATGCAAGTGTTTTGTTTTACGAAGTAGTAATAAAGACATTTTTGAAATTTGGTCATATAGTCCTCAGATTATGGCCCACTATTTGGGAACCACTTGTCTGGATTGAGTGGTGTGCAGCAACCATCTTTATCGTGGAACAAGGTAATAACTCAAGTCTAATGAATTAAGGATAGTGTTAGGGATAATGCTTCTTCTAAGTAATTTCATGTCGTGGAAAGTTACACTGACGGAGTGTGATTAGATTTTGTTCTTCGGTACAAACGCTTTCCTTCAGAAGTTTGGGAAAGATTTGTGTATTTTGTGATAAAGATTTATTTAAGAGCTGTGTGAGTATTGCATTCTCTTAGGGAATTTCTATTTAGTAATATGGTACTTTCAATTTTTGCCTCCATTATATTATACACATACACATATAAACACATATCTATCTGTTAACCTATATTCATCTTCCTATATATCAGTCTATATTCATCTTCCTATATATCAATCTATATGTGTATATATGCATATATATTTGTATACATACATCATTATTCTCAGGTATATTCAACATTAAGTTCTTTATATTTTTCCTGGTTCTCACCCATCAAAACCTCCCCCCCCCCCTGTCAAACAAGCGACTAACCCGCCAATTAAGAGGAAGGGTTATAAAACTGTACTTTGCAATTTATATGCTCGCAATTAGCCTCATATGATTGATGTCATAATCAGGCTCATAGCATGACCTGAAATATGTGCCTGGCAGCTGTAGGACCACTATTAAGCTTAATTTGGATTATTGAGCAATCTCTCTGCTGTGTTTCTGGGCGTCGGAGAGAGATGAAGCATGTTTTATTTATGTTTTCTTTTCTTTTCTTTTCGTTTTATGAGATACTAGAGCCTGGTATCGATTTTCCCATTAAGAACAAGGACACGTGTAGGCTGAGTTTACATTCCTCTCGCTTCCTTGCCTCACACGACTCTGCCGTGGACATGGACGAGTAATAGCGCTTTGAGACACGTCATAAGGGGTAATATCATCGTGAGAATATTCCCGAAATCTTGCTCTGAATTTCCCCGAAACGATAATAGGTTTTTGGCGGATTGCACATTTGCACAGATCGTCTGAAAGGCCGACTTCACATGGACATCGGACTGGTAAGGGGAAGGAAGAAAGTAAACGGCGGCGATGTTAGCCCCAGCGTTAGGGGGACGCGCGGGATCCTACAACATTGCAGAGGTGGATAAAAAAAAATAACGAAGCAAACACATATAGATTCTTTAAAAAATAATAATTTAAATAAATTAAAAAAAAAATAATAAAAAAAATTAATTAATTAAAAAAAAAAAAAAAAAAAAAAAAAAAAAAAAAAATATAATATAATATATATATATATATATATATATATATATATATATATATATATATATATATATATATATATGTATATTAAAATAACAAGTTAAAGAAAATATAAAAAACTGATAACGATCAAACACTACTATAGATTTTAAAAATAAAATAAAGAAAAAAAAAAATGATAACGTAGCAAACACTAAAAGATTTTAAAAATAAAAAATAAAAGAAAATTACAAAAAAAAACATAACGAAGCAAACAGTGATATATAATAAAAAAAAAAAAAAAAAAACTAGCATGGCGGTGTATGCAAAGCAGATTTGCACGAAGCCATCAAATCACCACGGGGAGCAATAACACCTGTGGCTCGTAGTTGCGTCCAACTCCCCCCCCCCCCCCCAACGAGCAAGACGTCCAACTCGTGTCCTTCCGATAAGACAGAGATTAAAGAGATCAAGGGTCGGACCTTCCCGTGGCTTCCGTAAGATAACAAATGATAACCAAACTTCCTACGTGAGAGAAAATAGATAAAATAAATAGATATAAAAAAATAGAGTTAATAAAAAATGATAAAACTTTCATCCATGTGGGGAAAGAGAAGAACAGATAAAGACGAAGAAGAGACGGAAATATTTTAAATTAATAAGCAAGATAGATAGACCGTAGGAGAAGATATACGGAATGGGAAGAAGGCGAAACAGGAGAATGTACGGAAGCAGGAAGGAAGTCACGACAATAGGGAGATATCGAAGCAAATCGAGAAAGCCGCCGCTCATTGTGTGGCCGAGAGGTGGGTCAGGTGGGTCAAGTGGGTTAGAGGTGGGTCAGGTGGGTCAAGTGGGTCAGAGGTGGGTCAGGTGGGTCGTGGGTGGGTTGGGTCGGGTCGGGTGGGTCAGAGGTGGGTGTGGTCGGTGGGTGGGGTGGGTCAGAGGTGGGTCGGGTGGGTGTGGGTCAGGTGGGTGGGTCGGTGGGTCTCGTGGGTCAGTGGGTCAGAGGTGGGTCAGGTGGGTCAGAGGTGGGGGGGTCAGTTCAGGGGTCAGAGGGGTGGTCAGGTGGGTCGGTCGGTGGGTCAGAGGTGGTCAGGTGGGTCAGAGGTCGGGTCAGAGGTGGGTCGGGGGTCAGTCAGGTCAGGTGGTCAGGTGGGTCAGGTGGGTCAGAGGTGGGTCAGGTGGGTCAGAGGTGGGTCAGGTGGTCAGAGGTCAGTGGGTCAGGTCTGGGTCAGGTGGCAGTGGAAACGATAAGCTCGCGATGCAATAATTGCGTGTGTGGGTTTATGTGTGTGTATGTATATATGTATATATACATATACTCTACCATTATCATCATTACTATCATTATCCTTAATTATTTTTTACTATTATCATCCATATTCAGACATTCATTAAAGACAGACTGATGTGAATGGTTTTATGACAGTGTGGCACACCTGCAGAACTCAGTGCCGCCACGTCCCTGCTTGACAAGAATCATATTGCCTTGAAGGATTCCACCGGATATTCTGAAGGGACAAGCAGTATGGCTGAGAAGAACAAGGCGCTGTTATACGACGCCAAAGGGTTAGGCAGGGGGGGGGGAGTCAGTGCAGGGGCGGGAGCAGTTCATATCCTACATCAGGCAGTCACAGGTCAGTAGCAGAGAGGGTTATTGTAATGTCAAAATGTCTATTTATGTTCGATTTGTCCAGTAGATCTTTTTATCCATTGTGGTGGTGAGTTCAGCTGAGAATTCCCGGCCTTTTGTTTTGATGGCATATTAGTCTGCTTTTGTGAGCTGTGGAACTGCAGTGCTGTAGATGCTCTACCTGTCATATGTATGTTTTTCCTCCTGACATCAGCTGCACAAGTTTGATTAATGATGTTTTGCAAGAATTGGTCCCAGTGTTCACTGCGAGTTCGTTTTATTTTTTTCTAAAATCTTTGTTGTCTCTCGCACCAGTGAAGTAAAGACTTCATCATGAAAAAGATTTTTGCCGAATACCTCATCTAACCTGCCACTTTGCAAGTGAGTAAATTTAGCGATGAATTCTTCCCATTATTACTACGGTGGCGGTCTTCAAAGTGTGGTTATATCCTCTAATATTACGGTTTTACAATTCGCACAAGACACATATACCTTTGTGATTATAGATCTCGTCACGTGTCAGGCCTGAGTCTAATAGTATTTTTATTCATTTCAAAGATTTCGTCTTAGCTCTGTGCCACTACTTAGCACAGTCCTTTGGGGTGCAGTGCCGGGTGCACCTCGGGGCTACGTAGCTTCCCTGGGCTCCTGGTCTGACCTGATGTCGTAGGGGTCCTGGTATAGCCCGCCGCTGGTGTCAGCTGCTCGTTGCCAACACTGTCATCGATTGTCCTTGTTGGTTCCTGTGACACGTATAATACCACTAGTAACACCAACACTTTAAATTGGCATTTTCTTTTCAATGTCCTGTCTTAGCGTCGTTATTTCACTTATCAAACTAATGTTCGTTTGCATTTCCTTTAAAAGGTTCATCCCATTTATGTTGATTCGCTTGCGTGACGTCACTTCTGCCACATGGCCCCAAGGTCTATAGAAGTACTTGTATAGACGTTGCATACTCCATCGTGGGATTCCCCGCTTGGCCTGCAATCATCCCTGACTGAGGTTGAGGGGCGGATGGCTCTGCTTTCGCCGTGCCTTCAGGGAAGCAGACACGGACTTCGGTGCCAGTGACAGTTTGCCTGCTTCTTCTGTCAGACACATCCACCCGGACGTCGGTAGCACCAGCGTCATCGCCGTCGAGTTTGCCTTCATAAATGGCTCTCCACTGCAGACTAAAGCGCGCTGTTCTACCCAGGAGGGGGGGGTGCCCACGGAGCCCTCCCCCTCCATGTTTATGCTCCGTCTCTTCCCCATGGAGGGGGGGGGAGCGCCGCCCCCGCCTCGCTCGCCTCGACGTCAGGCTGCGGGCGTGTCTCGACGGTAAATGTACGCTGGCGTGCTCCGACCGTAGAGTTTGCTACGCTGGGACACTGATGTGTGACAACCAAGACTTAAAATAGCTGAATCCAATATACATACACACACAACACACACACACACACACACACACACACACACACACACACACAACACACATATATATTAATATATATATATATTATATATATATATATATATATATATATATGCGAGGGGGAGGGAGTGTGTGCGTGTGCGTGTGCGTGTGCGTGTGCATGTGTGTGTGTGTGTGTGAGTGTGTTTACGTGTTTGTGTGTGTGTGTGTGTGTACATAAGATTGGAAGAATGCATCACTCATTAATATCTTATATGCAGCAGTTTTTTACGCTGATTAGAAGGCGACCAAGCAAATGGGAGGAAAAGAATGACACACGTGACATTAATCCGTTAAATACTTGAATACATCTGAGTAAAAATATATGACATTAATCCGTTAAATATTTGACTACATCGGAGGGAAAATCTACATACGTGTAATCAACGTACATACCCGTATATTAGAGAACCGGAAAGGTTTCGAATCACACCAACAACCGACTTTCCGTTATCGGTGTCGAGAAAACAAATGCAAGCGGCGAGCGTGCGCAAGACCGTAGCGTTCGGGAGACACCAAGCTTCAGTGGTCTTCTTGACGTCCGCGGAGAGGGTCCTCACACACCGCCGCTCTCTCCTTGATAAGAAAGCCTCCGAAGCCATAGGTTTATTTTGTGTAATTACGTTCTGGACGGTTTGTTTCGTGTACGCAATTTGCAATTACGTTCTGGCCTATAACTAAGACTCCCAGTGTGGACTTTCGAAGGTTTTGTAGTTCTTTGGAAAATCAGTCGGGAGTTTTGTGTTGATAAAGTCGTTGCCAAAATTAGTCTCATCTGCCGTCTTGAGAAAAGTGTTTTATCTTTTATATCTTTGTGGTCCATAATCTTCAATGTGGGTATATGAATAAATAAATGTACATGCATATATATATATATATATATATATATATATATATATATATATATATATATATATATATATATATATACACACACACACACACACACACACACACACACACACACACACACACACACACACACACACACACACACACACACACATATATATATATATATATATATATATATATATATATATATATATATATATATATATATATATATATATATACATATATATATACAACATGTATATTATGAATATATATAAGATAATTACTGGTTGTGTATGGATGTTATTAAAAGAAGAAATACAAGAAATTCGCTAAACTGACATTACTGTGGGAACTGGAGTGGTATAATGCATATAAATAGTTCCTTTTCGGTGCCACGAGGTTCTTAGCTGTTATTTTTCATAGTTTCATTTCGGAAATATAGGCTACTGTGAATAATTAATAGAAGGCTGCAAAGCAACTATGAAGGGAAAAGAAAGAAAGAAAAAAATATATGTACATATCTATCTATCTATCCATCTATCTATCTATATCTATCTTTCTACCTATCTAAGTATCCATCTATCTATATATCTATCTATCAATTTGTCTATATATTTATCTATCTATCCATCTATCTATATATATCTATCTATCTATATCTATCTATATCTATCTAATATATCTATCTATCTATCTATCTATCTATCTATCTATCTATCTATCTATCTATCTATCTATCTATCTATCTATCTATCTATATATATATATATATATATATATATATATATATATATATATATATATATATCGATCTATCTATCTATCTATCCATACACACATACATATCGTTCCTGATCACATGTTCTAACTTTCAAGAAGCTAAATCAAGACCTGAGTTAATACATCTACAAACATCTACAAAAAAAATGTCTACCGCAGAACGCTTCCTTTCGACAACAATCCTGTGGTGTCTGAGAATAACAGCTGAGTTGACAATTGCACACGTGGAATCACCCTATCCAGTTCTGTTCAGTTCAGTGGGATATGTGCAGAATATTACTCTGTGGTGTGTGTGTGTGGGGGGGTCGTGTGTGTGTGTGGGGGGGGTCGTGTGTGTGTGGTGGGGGGGGTGTGTGTGTGTATGGGGGTCGTGTGTGTGGGGGTCGTGTGTGTGTATGGGGGTCGGGGGGGTCGTGTGTGTGTATGGGGGGGTGTGTGTTGGTGGGGGGTGTGTGGGGTCGTGTGTGTGTATGTGTGGGGGGTCGTGTGTGTGGGGGGGGTCGTGTGTTGTGTGTGTGTGTGTGTGTGTTCATGCGGATCTCTTTGAATATCAGAAGAAATGACTGAATTCTAGTGGAATGGAAGTTTCCTAATAAAGTTATTAGTTTTTTTTTCTGACAGAAATAACACCATAAGGCCACTCACGAATTTCTGCAAAAAAAAAGTTTAATGTAACATAAGCTTTCATCGTTTTATAAGCCTAAGTTATTACGATTTGGCGCAGCGGTTGTGGTAATAACTGATGAAGTACTAGTATTAATCGTAAGTTAAAATAATGGTGAATGTGATGATGGTGATGATGATAATGATTACTTTAGCAAAATGAGGATGATGATTACTTTAATATAATGATGATGATATTTATTACCTTAACAAAATGATGATTATAATAATTACTTTAGCAAAATGATAATTACTCTAACAAAATTATAATGATTTATCTAAAAAATGACAATGATGGTGGTGATAACAATAACGACAATAATAACGATGATAACGATAATGGCAATGATAAAGCCAATAAGATACCAGCAAAGGTAACAACGGAAACCACCAAATCCTTGACGACTCCCATTCCCAGCCTATTTATCTATATCTATATCTATCTATCTATCTATCTATCTATCTATCTATCTATCTATCTATCTATCTATCTATCTATCAATCTATCCATCTATCTATCTATCTATCTATCCATCCATCTATGTCCATCGGCATCCCTCTATCTATCTATCTATCTACCTCCATTCCAGCGCCAGGTCTCGGTAACATGAACCGCACCCCGACAGCGTTACGGTCGCTTCTCTCCCTCTCAGTGGTCACGGCTGGAGTTCTGAGCTGGTCCTTCCTCGCCCAGAGTTCGGGAACGTCCAAGCCCTTCCGGAGTCTACCACAGGTCAGTGTCTCGGTCTTTCGTGGTTTTGTTACTGCAGTTGAAATGATAGAAGCGCTGAGGTATGTGGTCAGTAATGTTTAATATTTACAGTAATGTTTAATGTTTAATGTTTAATATCTAATGTTTAATATTTAATATTAAAATGATGTGATGGTTTCTCGTGTTCTTTATTCGTTTGAAGTTGTTCGCTTAAATCGATGAAATGAGTTCGAGTTAAAAATGAATTAAATTGGTTCATCATCTGATTTATGGATGTGATTAGAAATATTTATATATTGTCCCTCAAAGAGATAATGGCGATCATAATAACAGCAGGATTAATAGCAGCGAGAAAGATACGTTTGATAAAAGTGAAAGCGATCATGGGAATAATAATAGAAATAATAATAACAGTGATGATAGAAATGGTAATGGTGAAAATAATGTTGATAACGCGGGTGATGGTGATAATGATAAGGATGATACTGATGGTGATGGTGATGGTGATAATGATGAAAGTGATTGTGCTCATGATAATGATGAAGGTGATGGTGATAATGATAATGATGATAGTGACGGTGATAGTGATCAAGCGTTTTGATGACAACAGTACTATTCCACCATCTCCAAAACCACCCGAGGCACAATTTCACCCCGCCCCCCCCGGAGTCGAACTGTCTGCAGATTCTACACCAGCTCCGTCGACCAAGTTCCTGACCGTCAGCTCGCTTTGGAATCGTTAGTCCCTTAGCAACTTGCTGGACAAACACACCTGAACTGGCTGACCAACTTGACCGGTGTGTTCTGCAGAAACAAACGCCTTATTTTGTGGATCCATTTAATTGTGACATGAGTACTACAACATGAATATGGTTGTACAAGAGTAATTGCATTTTCTTATGGGAGAAAACATAGCCATATGGAATTTGAGGCAAGACTTTTTAACCAATTCTCTGAGGAATTTTATAGTTAAGATAGAAATTGGATGTTTACTACTCATAGGACACAATAACAATCATATTGCGATAAATGATTCCTTGGCTAGATTGTGATTGTGTTGCTCGATAAACCAGTTCTGTAGATCTCATAAAGATAATTGATATACAGTGGTATGAAACATTGCAGTTTTTCCGTCACGCGTTTCTGCAACCCTGCCTGACCGGTGAGTAATGCAGTAATGTAAAGTATATTATTTAGTAAAGAATAATAATGGTAATGTAAAGTATATTATTTAGGGAGGTTAAACGATACGACTTATAATAATGTAATAATGTAATAATAATAATAATAATAATAATGTAATAATGACTTATAATAATGTAAAGTATAATAATGTAAAGTATATTATTTAGGGAGGTTAAACGATACGACTTATAATAATGTAATAATAATAATAATAATAATAATAATGAATAATAATGTAAAGTATAATAATGTAAAGTATATTATTTAGGGAGGTTAAACGATACGACTTATAATAATGTAAAATAATAATAATAATAATGTAATAATGACTTATAATAATGTAAAGTATAATAATGTAAAGTATATTATTTAGGGAGGTTAAACGATACGACTTATACGTAGATATCAATCTTATTCATAATTCTGTTGTTCTTATAATAATGACAGTGTAGAATAACATGAGATTGACAGTTTGTTGTGCGTTCTGTTAAGATAGATCAGTCACGTAATGTCTCTATAATATTGGATTTCACATATTACTGCTACCGTCTTTTATCACATGATTTTTCACTTTATAACGGAAGATAAGAATTGTGAATAAAATGGCTTCTCACACAAGGACAAGAATTTCCGTTTTTTTTTTTTCTCTTTTTTACAGCGTGGATTTCCTGTTTCTTATCTGCATACGTAACCGCGCTGTATTTCGCCTCTTCGCCCACAATAATTCTTACTTCCATTTGCGAGGAGGAAAATGATTCTTAGGAGAGGCTATGGACCCGAGAATGGGTTGGTGAGGAAGAGAGATGGAAGAGAAACAGCTGGTTTTCCCTCTCCTTCGAGTTTCGAGGCAATTTTAATAGCTCTAGAAACGCAAACAGAAATAATTAAAAAAAAAGTCTTAATACCTATTTAAGAAACTGTTTGCCCTTTTTTTTATATCAGTGTAATGAGAATATTCATCGACATATCAGTTTATATACGAATATATATCAGTTTATCAACGAATATTCATCGAAATATCAGTTTATCGATTTATCTACGTAGGCTGAAGTAGACGGTAACGAATGGGAGTCATTTTCGTGAGCATAAAAAGCAGAAAAGGTGTACGATGATCTTCAGAATGCACAGAGCAGACGGAAGTGTCCACGCTCACCCGCGCCCGCACACTTCGGCGCTCTTCGCGGGACCAGCAACCCTTGATGAAGTGCACGTGACATGAACATGAAATATGAAGTGAGTGCGTGCTGACGGGCGCATCCTGTGGGTTGACTGATCGTGTATTTCAATTATTTAAACATGTCACGATTTTATTGAACACGGGTATGATCGTTGCAGTTTGTTAACAGTTTCAGGTCAACGGAGTAGCAACAGTGATAAGGGATTCGGAAGTAAAACTATGATTTTTACGTGTGTTTAAGACCTAATGAATTAAGTGTTACAGCTCTCTCTTTCTCTCTTCCTTTCTCTCTCTCTCTCTTTCTCTCTCTCTCTCTCTCTTCTCTCTTCTCTCTCTCTCTCTCTCTCTCTCTCTCTCTCTCTCTCTCTCTCTCTCTCTCTCTCTCTCTCTTCTCTCTCTCTCTCTCTCTCTCTCTCTCTCTCTCTCTCTCTCTCTCTCTCTCTCTCTCTCTCTCTCTTCTCTCTCTCTCTCTATCTCTTCGCTCTCTCGCTTTCTTTGTTTGTTTGTTCTTGCGCATTTTTCTTTAAAAAGTTGCCCTAAAGCAAGAGAATTTTTTAGTAGGAGGATAATAATAATTATGATAATAATTATAATGATTATGATAGTAATGATAGATGAATAGATAAAAAACTGAATAGCAGGTCCATGCGATAGCTGATTCCCCTGAAGCAATCAATAAAACCCTCATGGGAAATCGCCTTAGATCTTTATGATAATAATCCTGTTAAACTTTTATCAACAAGAAATTGCTTGAAATAATTTTGTATTGGTCTCGTGCTTCATATGTAACCAAATCTGCCTATATGTCTATGTGTCTTTATAGATATAATATCGCCCTCTCTTTTTTCCTCTCTTTATATCTATCAGTCGAACTGTCTCTCAATATTATCTGTCTATTTATTTATGCATCCATACATCCATCTATTTCTATCTCTCTCGAATGAAAACCCAACACCAGTCACATACTGAATCATTTTATCGTTCTTAAAAGTTATATTAACGGTGAATAACACATCAATCACAAAGTCGATTCACAATTTACTCGAAAAGATATTGATCCTCGAATCCAAAACCAAGTAAACAACAACAAACATTTTCTTCGCAGATTTCTTCGCCAAAGACGGCTTCTGTGGTCGCTCCAAGGGAAGACACTGTGCCTCCCCCCCTTTATAACGACACTTGGATAGAGACACGTACCTACACTATACCTGGATGTCCGTGTGAAAGGTAAGAGCAACGAGATCCCACTTACCTGCGTTTCCTTTTCCTAACGAAGCTGGGATAGGGACACGTGTGAAAGGTAAGGGGAACAGACCCCCACTTATCGACGTTTAGCCATGTAGGTCGTTAGGAAGGGGGAGTCGGGAGGGAGAGAAAGAGGGAGGACGAAGTCAGGGGTTTTCAGAACTTATTGCCAGTTCATGCAAAGATTGTAGCTTTTTTGTGTCTTGTAAGTTGTCGAGGGATGCTATGATCTGCATTGTTGCATCCTTGCTAGGTATTGTTTATTCTCGTTTGTCTGATTTCGATATTCAGATTTTTATATATGTTTCGAAAGAACAGATCGTCTTCGAGAATCGTTTTTCTCCTTTTTTTTCTGTGTTTTGTTTTGGTTAGAACTCCAGATTCCATATTGCACTAGACTCTTCTTTACATAATTGAAAGCCAGTGACATCATACTGGAATATTTTTTTCAACAAAATCCGAAGAGGTTATATAATAATACTAATTTCCATTGTAATGCTTTGGAATATTTCTGCAATATCTTTAATACATAAGTGTTTTACATATATTAAAGTATATTCAAATAGGCATGATATTTTATTTTTGTTTCAGCTATTCTGTTAACATAGTGCTAAACACATTCTTTGATTAATAAATAAAACTTTGGCCCTGTTGCCTTCTATTTTCTATTTATTTGTGTTTTCTATTATCTATGTA